AAATTGCTCAAATTGCTCTCTTACAAAATTTTCAAGATCATCTGGACTCGCGAATTCGCGTCCTTCAGCTCTCTTTTTTAGCGTGCCGAATAAAATAAAAGTCAGAGGGTGCAATATCAGGTGAATAAATTGGGTTTGGAACAACTTTGACATTGTTTTCCACCAAGTAATTCAGTACCTTATGACTTTTGTGAACTCTTGAATTATCAAAATGAATTGCAAACTTTTGTTTTTGTTGTTTGGATTTCTCAAACTCATCAGAATTGATAATTTGAGTAAGAACATTGTCAATTAGATACTGAGCATTCATCATATTAGGTTTTTGAAGAATATCAATTGCGATGATGCCATTCACGCCCCAAAAAACCGACAACATCATCATTGGTGTGTCAATTTTTTTCTTCGGGAATGTTTGCGGATTTTCATCCTTCGGGATCCACATGATTTTGGCTTCTGTTGCATATTGAAACCAAGACTCGTCCCCTGTTACTAAAAAGCGAAACTTCTTGGATTGATACGCACGCAATATAGAGAGGAGCTCTTTCGAAGATTGGACTCTAGATTTTTTTTGAACTGAATTAAGGTTGTGCGGAACCCAACGTGTATACGCTAGTTTGTAGTTCAAATAATTGTGCAGATAATAACTGACTGTTGTACGTGGTATCTTTGTCATCTCCTCTATCCTTCTGAGTGATGCTCTTGGGTCTTCATCTAGCGCTTGACGAATTGCTTTGATTTTTCTTTGATCCGGCGATTTTTTGTCAATTTTTATGATGGGCGCCTTTTTTTTCATGAAGTGATACATCCTAACATGATACGTTACAGTGGAATAGCTAGGAGCATCCATACCGAAGCATTTTACCAATGTCTCGTAGATTTTTTTACAGTCTTTGCATTTTTTTGCAAGAACGAGGATGTTTTCTTTATGATTCATTAAAAAAATGAAAAAATCCCGCCAAAATTTCCCGCGAAACCGCCTCTTGTCTCAAAATTTATTTTATATCCCGGCATGGCGCCAAAATACAACATACTCATCATATACATATATTCATATTTTTTATTATATATTTATAATCAGCATATATCTCCTTTAATAGTCTCATATAGAGCGCTGTGCTAAACGCACCTTTGGACACCCTATAGCTCATCTATTCTGTTTTCTATTTCATCTTCAAGAACAGCGCATGTGTCTTCTTTGCATTCTAAGAACTTTTGTTGGACTTCATCTTTCCAATCGGCGTCATCTCTGTCAACAAGTCTGTCATTGACAAATTTTAAGACTGCTCTTTGTAATGTTTTATGGTTCTTGTCATATTCCCAGAAACAGAACTTTAGAACAAATTCACCCTTCTTGTTTACACTATGTAAGATTTTATGGTCGACAGATGTTTTGCTGTCGAAAAGCTTGTCTCGAATATAGATAGCGAAATCGCTAGACATTTTCTAAAAGATAAAAATTTTAATTTTTCTAAAAATATGTTAGAAAAAAAGTTTGCTGACATTGACAAGAAATTTGAGAATGTTTTAAACAAGAACAAGAGGAAGTTAGAAAATGCTCAGATAAAGCCTATACATGAAAAGTTCTTATTTGCTCAGAATGGTATAACAGGTCTAATTGCACAACCTGGGTCGGGTAAGACTTTCACTTATCTTAAAATGGCTGCACAACAACAAGAACTAGATGAGAAGAACCCATTCTATGAGTTAGTAGTCATTTGTTCGACTTCTGGTCAATTTGACCAAACCGTTAATTCGTTCAAAGATATTATAAAGAAGTCTAAGTTAGTATGTATAAAGGATACTGAGTTGTTAGATTGGATAAAGAAGTACCAAAGAAGAGTTTTGAAGTATAATGCTATAAATGAGTATATAAATTCTAAGTTTAAAGACCCAAATGAGGAAATGCAGAGAATATTAGAGAAGAAACACTTCAGAAACAAACAGAAAGAGATAGAATACATTTCGAAGAAATTGCAATCTTACGATTGGAAGACTTACCCTCACAGATGTCTTCTTATCTTAGATGACTTTGCTTCTCATCCTTTGCTTAAGAATAGAGAACAAGATATGTGTCGAATTCTCAAGAAGCTCAGACACTTTAACATTTCAGTCGTAATATGTGTACAGACAGCAAAGAGTTTAAGTAAGGATGTTAAAAGAATACTTACTGACATAATACTTTTCCCCGGATTGTCCGAAGACGATTTCATGGAACTTATGAAAGAGTCCATGGCAGGTAAGTTTGACAGACATGAACTATGGGAGAAGTATAAAGTCATACAAGACCCTCATACTTCTTTCAGAATTCATATCTACGCAAACAAAGTTCAAATTGTAAAAAGTCAATAAAAATAAATGGTTCATCTACCCTACTTATTTGAAGTTGTCAAAATACTCTGTTATTTTTTCTTTCAGTAGCGGTAAGTCTTCTTTGAATGTAAGTATTGTACAACCTTTCATATCATAGTGTGTTTGAGGTAACGTATCTTGAACTATTTGTTTCACATCTTCATTTGGGGTCATTGAAATCGGTAAGTTTTCGCGATAGAACCAATTTCTGTCAGATTTGTAAATCTTAGCAAGGTCGTAAAAGCTTTTGTTGTTTCTTCTGACTAAATGCAACATAACCATATCTCTGTCTTCCATATCTTCAGTATAAATCATATACTTATAGTTCTTTTCCTTACCTTTTGGTACCGAACGTGGTATTCTTTTCTGAATGCTTTTGTCTTTTGCTTCAATGACTTCATCTTTTGCTTGAAGTTTCTTTTCCATCTCTTCGCGTTCTGCTTTATATAGTTCATCTAACATCATGAAAATATAACAAGCATAACGAGGTGAAGCCCACATTGCTACAGCATTTACTAAAAGTCTATGAACATAATATCCTTTCAAACCAGGAGCCAAATTCTTGCGATTTTCGTACGGAATCTCTTCTCTCGGTTTTCCGAGGGAAGCAATCATATGAGGAAATTCTTCTAAAAGTTCTTTTGTCTGTTGGTTTTCAAACCAATGATATGCTTGCTTTGTAGAACGAAGAGCATTCAAAATACTTTGCATTTGGTACATATCGTTTTTGACCGAACGAATGAGACGGAGTTGTTTGTTAAACTGTATGTACTCGTATTCTTCATTTATAGCTTCATGGACTATAACTGTTGTTGTGTTCTCTGATGTTGACATATCTGTCTTTACATACAAAATAAAAAAATAAATAAAAATAAAACTAACTTTATTTTTTCTATCTTAAGGAAATTCATGATTTTTGTGCTGAATTCAATAAAAATATATTTTAGGGTAGAAGGTTAGATCTAACCCGATATCTACCCTCATTTCTACCCCAGTTATTTTATAAACGTTTCACATGGTAAACGTTATTTTTTAAATTTTGTGAAAACTCAACGGTTTGACACATGCCCTAAAAATTATTTTACTCAGAATTTTGTGCTGAATTCAATAAAAATATATTTTAGGGTAGAAGGTTAGATCTAACCCGATATCTACCCTCATTTCTACCCCAGTTATTTTATAAACGTTTCACATGGTAAACGTTATGAATTCGTGAGACTCTAAACAGTTTTGTAGCTTCTATTTCTTCTTTTAGTACATCGAATGTTTTAACAATACCGAAAGTTTCTTTATACTTCTTCTTGACATCAGATAGAAGGAAATCGTCAGCAGTTGGATAGTTTTTGTTCAGAAATTCTAACATGTTCATTTTATCTTCTACCGGCTTCTCTGCTTCTTTCTTTAAGTCTGCATAGTCGTTTCGCATTCTTTCTATCTCTTTTACTGAATAGTTATATTTCCTAATTGCTGCTTTACATTTAGAACATTGCGGGTTCATTTTTGCGTTATATTCTGAAACCTTACCTGCTAAAACAACCAAGGCGTCAATGGTTTTCTTTAAATCTGAAGCAGTTGGTTTTATCTGTTCATGCCATACCTTATCTCTTCTGTCTTTATCTCTTATCTGCCATACACATTTTGCAGCTAATGAAACAAAGTTGTCGTATGTCTTAAACTCCCCAGATTTATATATGTCAGAGATGTTCTTATATACCATGTCGCAATCTTTGTCCATAACTTTATGGTTGCAATGAAAACCAAGGAATTCATAATTTACCTTTCGTATGAACTTCTTTATTTCTACTGAGTCAGTTGCTTTGACTTCAATTTCGTCGAATTCAGGAATAGTTAGTTTTTGCTGTTGGATTTCAGGCAATTTGGGTAAATGGTCAATAATGTCCTGCATTTCATAAAGATATTCTTCATTTGTTTCATCTTTCGCACTACAGTCTAAATTACTTGTTAAAAGTTCCTGCTTTATTCTTTGTATTTCTGTTTCGAAAGTATATGAAGAAGGAATGAAGCTTTTCATTTCTACTAACATAGATGTTGGATTCATGACTAACGAGTTTGGTGCTGTTGTTTGAATTGTTGTTGTGCCGATTGTTGACATATCTGTCTTTACATACAAAATAAAAAAATAAATAAAAATAAAACTAACTTTATTTTTTATTTCGGGGAAATTCATGAAAATTCAAGAGGGTGAAAAAACAGGTGAAAAAAGAGGTGAAATCTCACCTCTTCACCTAAACATTATTTTTGCTGAATTCAGCAACAAAATGAACGAGGTCTGGATGTATGTAAATACCTTTGAATTCATTCATAACACCCTTTGTAAGCTCATAAAATGCTTGTTTTGAGGTAGAGCCACTTTTGGCTCCACCGTATTCTTTCAACCAAAACTCAAGAATTTCCTGCATGAATTTTGTATAAAAAGCAACCGCCGGAATTCAGACTGTTGCTATATTCTTCACAAAATGCCTTATAATACTCTTCCCAGGACTTATTTTCCAACAACTTTCTAAAGTCTTTCCTAAACTGACTGACTGACTGACGGCACAAAGTGGCTTAGCGAAAACATTAATATATAAAATTCATGAAAATTCAAGAGGGTAGAAATCGGGTTAGAAATGAGGTTAGATCTAACCTCTTCACCTAAACATTATTTTTTGGTCCGGGAACAACTTTCTCTCAATTGGAGCTGTAGCATACTCTTTGCGTAAGCGGTTCAGACCTTCTTCGAAGTCTTGGTCTCTCTTGGACTGAGATTGGAATTGGAATTGTGGGGCAGGGTTTTGCATAAACATCCAAGGGTTGGGGAAGTAAGGCATAGGCTGAGGAGGGTAGTTCGGGAAGCCTTGTGGTGGGTAGTAACCTTGAGGTGGAAATTGGTAGTAATTCGGAGGTACTTGCTGGAACTGAGGTTGCTGAGGAGACTGTTGTGGTTCTTTAGGTTCCTCTGGTTTGGGAATGGACTCGGTTGGTGGTACGTCGGACATTCGTTTGTGGCTTAACTGTCGGACCACAACGATAAAAATCTCTGCTACTAGCAGTACTTTTACTGACAGTAGCAGTACTTTTTCTGACAGTAGCAGTACTTTTTCTGACAGTAGCAGTACTTTATCGTCGAAAACCCTCTCAAATTTTCCTTTTTACTGACAGTAGCAGTAGTTTTTCTGCTCCTAGCAGTACTTTTACTGACAGTAGCAGTACTTTTACTGACAGTAGCAGTACTTTTTCTGACAGTAGCAGTACTTTTTCTGACAGTAGCAATGGTCGAGGTCGAACCTACCGACGAGGCAATTTACCTAATTGAAATTAACGAGCTTGTTAAAGACTTCCTCAGGCAGAATGTAAAAGGCAAGCTTGTTAACGGTTGGATAACGGGAAGGGCTGCCTTGAATCTCGAGACTTCGACTGGAATTCCAATTCAAATACCAGACGGGACAGCCTACGACGACATAAAGCAAGCAAAGAAGGAAGCCATTATAAAGTTCTTTGCCAAGCGTCCTTGGATACTACTTCCAAACAGAGAGAACCCTTTCCCAAGAATGAACCAAATTCTCAAGGGTCTCCTTCACTTCTCTGGTCAGCCGTTCTACATAACCTGTGAAGGCGACATTCAGCCAGTTCAGTAAACATATCATTTTAACTCACTTTTTATGTTTTTACTACACTCGTACTCACCAGGTATGAGTACAACTATTTCAACTGTGAACCTTGTAGTGACCGGTCTTCCTGCAAATGCAAGTTCGGTCAATACACAGTTTATGGTGGCAAGAATTGAAATTCCAGACCCAACTCCAACAAGAACTCTCAAGTTACCAGAGACTCGTGTGAAGAAAAGCCTTCTGGTAAGTTTCTTATAGCCATATACATGGCACGTTTAGAGTAAAAACATTTTTTTTCATTTTTGAATGAAGCAAGTTAAATTCGTCCCACACCAAACTCAATGGACCGATGAAGAGTTTCAAGCTATGGTTGAAGGCGTTGAGAACGACAAGACAGCGAACTTGAAGGAGCTCAAACCACAATTGCAACCAAAATTGCAGAAGTCAAGGAACAGATAGCTCCACTTAAAGCTACCAAAGCTACTCTTGACTCATGGATACTTACCGTTTAGATGTCAAGAGAGGAATAAGACAATTAAAATTAAAACTCTTAAATTACGAAGCTATACTCCAGAAGTTAGCAGAGATGAGAAGACTTTTACCAGAGCTACTTACATGTAAGGGACTTACCTTCAAGCAGTCCGACCAAAGATGAATTTCTGACATTGTCCAATTTTGTCCGAAAGTCAGCTCAGATGTTTTGAACTGCTCCCAACATATCCAGAATATGAACGTTTGCCTGAACTCTTCCGCAATCTCAAAAACGTTTTTTGGTTCCATGTTCGAAACTTTTATCGGAAGAGACAACAAACGTTCAGAAGAAGAACAAGATATTATTTTAAACTTGTTGTATGACATACTGTCATAACAAGCTTTTTGAAGTAAAACCGCCATTCTCAAACCACTTCATTTTTTGATGTCCGAACAAGCACCGAAGCCGAACACAATAGCAGATTCCTTTCAAGGTTGCCAGACAAGCGCCCAGTTCAAATTCAAATTGCCCAATTGAAAGCTCATCTGACAAACACCATTAAGACTCTCCAAAGTAGTCTTATGACAGAGATGACCAATCTCAAAGCCGATGTCCTCATGAACCAACTTCCAATGAGAAATGCCTGAACGATTTCACGGAAACCTTGCGCAATTACGAGAGAGAGAACCGAGACCTTGCCAGACTCATCTACCGTTTCTTCGAAGAGATAGACGCCATCTGGAAGGTACTCGGAAAGGACAGAACATGCAACACCGTACTTCGTGAGTACCAAATTGAAGAAGGAATTGTCGAGGAAGAAGAGGAAGAAGAGGAAGAAGAGAAACACGAGGAAGAGGAAGTTTGGGCAACCCTTGTTGCCGATGACGGTTACGAAATTTCCCAACCCTACCCATACCAAATCCGCAACAAGGAGACAGGCAAGGTTCTTACCCCAGTCCTCAACAACTTGGGACACTTGAACCTTAACCTTCGGAATCGCGGTTCAATCTCCATGGGCAAGCTTGTCGCAATTCAATGGGTTCCAAATCCAGGCAAGAAGACGAAGGTCAGACACATTGACGGTGACAAGCTCAACAACCGTAAGGAGAACCTCGAGTGGTTCTAAGAGTAAAAAATTTTATTTTAGGGGAAAACCCCAAGTAAATTTAAGTGTTTAGTTGGATAAGTAGGCACTATTAATGGTAATTTGGAAAATTAGCTCCCGACCTTTGAATTGGGCTCTTTCGTTATCCCAGTTGCGTAGGAGGTCGTCCCAGAGGAGTTGGTAGAATTGCCAATTCAAGGACGATTTGTCCTCCCAGGCATTGAGGATGTACTGCTCGTAGAGTCTCATGACCTCTGCCTTGCACCAGACACCCTCTCCCTTGGAACGTAAGGCTTCTTCGAAGTGCTCGAATGCGATTGGCTGCTTGACCATCCGAAATGACACTTTTTGTCCGTTTGGTCAATGTTCGTGTCTCGTGCCATAGTCGACGAAAATACAGACAAACAGGTTATATATGAGTTTGAGACCAAGAATGGTGTAACTCGACCTGTCCGATTCAAAGACTCCGAGGGCGACCATGAAATTAAACGGAAATTACCTAGGAAGGAATATAAAATGGACTGGTTGCCACCACCTCCACCACCTTTACCTGTTCCTCAAGTAAATAAGCCTTTCCCGTTCCCAAGAATTCCCACATTTTAATTCTAATTCGAATAAAATTTTTTTATTTCATGCAATGTTTAACTATTTCACCATCTTCTTTAACACCCCAGTACTTACGCTTGGAGAGGACATGAACTTCGGTGAAAATTTTGTCCAATTTGAATTGACCCATCTTCTCACCGACTAAACCCATTTCAATGAGTTTGTTGTATCCTTCTTCGTTCGTCATGAGTGCGTCAATGTTCTCATAGTAAACCTTGACTTTCGATTTGACTTCGAGAAGAACTCATTGTAGTTGTCAAGGACTGCCTTTGCGAACTGAGGGTAAGACCAATGTTCGACAATAGGTTTTAATGTGGTTACTAAGCCACTTTGACCTTGAGTGAATTCGTACTTCAAAACAAAAGGAGAAAACCTTTCAACAAAGTTGTCGACCTTCTCATAATGTTTACTCTTCATCTCTTGAGGTTTCTTAATGGAATATCCCCATGTCGAATTCATAAGCAATTTGAGTGTCATTGCAAGTTTGGGGTTGAAGCTTTCCTAATCATATACAGTTGTTGTATGACTTTTCCAACTGTATAGTTCCTTCCGGGAACTCACCATCTTCGTTTGGAATTCCAGTCGGAATATATTGGACAAACCTCATGTATGCAGCGTTAAGGTCGACATAGTATATCTTTTCATCTGAGTCGAACTTGTCGCAACCAATTGGTCCAGTTTGTGGAAATTCAAGTGAGTCTCTTATCTTCTGAGAAAACTTCTCTGTTATCTCATAAACATCGTCGAAGCAACCTGTTTCATATAAAACCTTCTGACCTAACTCAGATGCTCTCCAATACAATTTGACGTCAATTGGATGTCTCAATGGAAGTTTGTTTATAGCATCTTGAAGTTCTTGCAACCTCATTGGAAGTTCTTCTGGTTCAGGTTGGTATCCGAACATACCAACCCCTTGTGGAACTGTGTACTTCTTTTGTACTAGAACTTTGTCTGGAACAACTTTTGGTCTTTCTAACAATGAAAAGTTTGTTTCGTCTTTTGGTACAAAAGTTTCTGTCAGCTTGTCATCTGGAATTGGTTCCAACAAACCTTTCTCGAAAAGAATGTTTACAGCTCTGACAATGTTGCACTTACTTTTACCAAAGAATGGGTTTGTAAGACTTTCGTTCAACATGAAGTGGTTGTGGACAATTACAATCTTCAACCATGGTAAGTCTTTGTCAACAACATAGTCGTCATGTGAAGAACCTTTAGCTGTAGGTATGTTGACTCGGATATTGATATTTGCCAACGGTGCAATTTTTGCCAATTGACCTCTGAGAATGTACCTTGTCTTCACACATGACTCAAGATACTTCATCTTCTCATCTGTAACAAGACCAGAGTTCCTGAGACATGTAAGAATACAAGGTTCATTGACAATTGTTTCAATTGAATTGTAAATTCCATACCTTGTCAAGTCAATGTCAGACTTATTTATGAAGGGGAAGTATCCAGCATGTTGTCTGACTGCTTGAGGGTTAGGTTGGTACCATTCGAACTTGACACTTGCAATTCCTTCAATTGCATTCAAAATGTCTGAGTCGGAGTCAACCATTTGTTCTCTCTTTGTAGTCTTGAAAGCGTCAAGAAGTTTTGCGGCTGTTTGTTCATTGCCATGTGCATAGTAAATGTGACCATCCAAATCTGTTATGGTCAATCTGAGATTGTGTCCTTTCTTATTTCCGTCTTGAATTGCAGCAAGTACTCCCATGAAGCCTTCTTTGTTCTTTCCTTTGTCAAAGTTTACTGTAAAGGTTCGACCAGATGTAATTTGACTTCTAACTTCACGGTACTTTTCATATGCATATCTTGTTCTTTCCATGGGAGCATGTGCGTCTTCACCTTTTCCTTTTTTCCTTCTCAAAGGATGCAATTGTTCGTCATGTTTCCAGTAGAATCTGGCAAAGCCGTCGTGTCCTTCAACTTGAGGTTCACTAACATCGAAAGGCATGTCCATAAGACGTTCTTCTTCTAACCTCTCTAGTCTGTTTGGATAATTGGCACGTGCTGTTTCCAAATCCATTTCGTAGCGAAGACCAGACAATTTGTCATAGACTTTTATGGGTCTTCCCTTCCTATATTTAAAATTCTTCGAAACTCTCCAACCATATCTTTGTAACTCTGCTTTTATTCTAGCAGACTTTCTATCCATTCTATATGGGGGCATTTTTATAAAAATAAAAAATATGTTTTTTTCTTTACTTTACATAACCGCCTGCTGCCATAAGTCTTTGACGCCAACCCATACCAGCTAATGAAGGTTGACTTGGTTTAGTTTGGAAACTAAACTTTGGTTTTGGTTTATCTTCAGTTTTTGGTTTTTCTTCTTCTATCGGTTTTTCGTCACTTTTCGGTTCCTCTGACTTTACTTCACTTGCAGGAACAGTTGTGTCGTCAACATCTTCCTAAATATCATATGCCATTTATTTTTGTTTTCCTTTCAACTTTTTGTGTTTGTTGTAAAGTTTAGAATATTTCGACTCTAAGTCAATGAGATGTTCTATAATGAACTGTTGGTCAGTGAAGTAAACTTTTCCATCTGTTGTCTCGAAAGCTCCTTCAGACTTCAATATTTTATTTGTGAGAGTCTGTTTCTTTTTTGAGATACTAGCCGTTCCATTTCTATGAAAAGTGACTTTATAGTTAGGGTTTGTATTTCCAGACCTGGCACTTTCTATTATTGAATTTTTTCTTCATCTGTAAGTTCTTTGACAGGTTTTGACAATGGTTCTGAACTTTTTGTTTGTGGTGTCAAATCTACCGTTTCAACTTCTTCGGTCATTTCATCTCAGTAAAAAATTTTAGTTTGGTTTGTTTTCAACTGGTTGTTTAGGTTTTTTAAGTCGGTCTAAAACTTCCTGAGGTATAGGAAGAACTTTACAAACACGTGGTGTAAAAGGTGGTCTTCCATGACTTATTCTGTTTAAAGCTGCATTGTTCATTTCATCTCAGTAAAAAAATTTAGTTTGGTTTGTTTTCAACTGGTTGTTTTAGGTTTTTTAAGTCGGTCTAAAACTTCCTGAGGTATAGGAAGAACTTTACAAACACGTGGTGTAAAAGGTGGTCTTCCATGACTTATTCTGTTTAAAGCTGCATTGTTCATTTCATCTCAGTAAAAAAATTTAGTTTGGTTTGTTTTCAACTGGTTGTTTAGGTTTTTTAAGTCGGTCTAAACTTCCTGAGGTATAGGAAGAACTTTACAAACACGTGGTGTAAAAGGTGGTCTTCCATGACTTATTCTGTTTAAAGCTGCATTGTTCATTTCATCTCAGTAAAAAAATTTAGTTTGGTTTGTTTTCAACTGGTTGTTTAGGTTTTTAAGTCGGTCTAAAACTTCCTGAGGTATAGGAAGAACTTTACAAACACGTGGTGTAAATGCTGGAAGCCGACAAATCCATCTTGAACTCATTGTCTCAATGCTGCATTGTTCATTTCATCTCAATAAAAACTTTACATTCCCCACGTTTGAGGTGGTTTGCGGTTGGTTATTGTTTACCCACTGTTGTGCATGGTTATATCCTCTGTTAAAGAATCTTTCACCTTGGTCCATATAGTGTCCTGCTTGGTTATAGTAGTCATTTGCTTTGTTATAATAGTTTCCTGCTTGTCTTCCTACATTGTCCATCCATCCTTGAACTTTTCCTCTTGTTTCAGGATTTGGAATAAGATTTGTTGCATCTCGTGCTACATCCCAACCTTTCTGTACAGTTTGTATAATAGGTTGTGCTTTCTCTTTAAGTATACCTAATGTACTCAAAATCTTCCTTCCAATTCCAAATGCACCTCTGGCTATTGTTCCACTGCGGGTAAAAATCTAGATGCGACTCCTGCTAATGCGCCAAATAAACCCATTTCTTATAGGGTAAAAAATGACGAATCCGAACAAGGACCCCTATGTTTCTAAAGCGACAAAGAAAGCACTCATGATAAAAATCTTTAGTTCAACACCAAATGCTTGGTTTATGGATATCTTGGAAAACATTCCGAGAGTTAGAACAGATGGACCTCCATACTGGTTAATATTTGTTGGTCAAAACACAAGATACTGTGAAGCCATACCATTATGGTCCAAAAATATTTTAGATGTGAAAACTGCTTTGACAATATTCGTTGACAAATACCATCCAACAAAACTGACATCTGACTGTGAAAGTTCTTTCAAATCAGATGATGTAAAAAACTATCTGCGTTCAAAAAATGTAAACCAATATTTCATTGTCGACCAAAACCATTCTGCTCTTGGTGTCATTGACGGTTGTATAAAAATGTTAAGAGACTTAAACCAACCACAAGGTGGTGAAGCAAATGAAATGTCATATGACGACAAATATAGACACTTCTCCATGGCAAAGATGAGACAAGTTTTAAATATTTACAATAACCGTAAACAAAAAGGTTTGGGAAACCACTCCCCGAAGAAATGAAAAACAACCCTGACTTAGAGAAAGACTATATATTTAATAATTTAGTCAAAAGAGACAAACAAGAAAGAATGCCGGCTTCAAACTTCAGAAAGGTGACAAAGTAAAAATAGAAATACCTAAACGCGACCCATATGAAAATACTATTGACTATGACAACAATGGGAACCCGACAGGTACTCACATTCGTGTTCGTAAAAATAGAAGAAAGTATACAAGAGAATATTATGAAGTTTTAGGCAAACATGGCAAAATGTACACACTGCAAGCAGAAGATAAAACTACTATTGTCAGACCTCGTTTCAAACTTGTCAAAGTTCAAGGTGGTATACTTTCAAAGACAGTTCCTAACAAATATAAGACAACTCCTGACGAATATGCTAAAGAAGTTGAAAATGACGACTAAGCAATTCTATACCATGCGTAAACTGTCATGTAAGGTGGCATGCATTCTTACTTTGTCCCCGTTGTTTGCGTATATCCTGAAACGAAATGTGTATGGTTTCCTTCTCCCTGAGTGTCACTCCAGTAACAATTTATAGCAAACTTAACGTCGTCTTTAACATCATATCCTTTACCTTTTGTCATTCCTGACCAATCCCAATATCTATGCTTATGCCAACCTGCTTGAGATGTACTTAAATCTATGTAGTGACTGTGTGCAGGTAAATTTTCACCTGAAATCGTTTTACTTCCACCTGTTTCCTTTGAAGAGTTTGCACAATACAAAAACCTGTCGACTATTTGTTCCCATGCACCAACACCAAACATTACTTGAGGACCTCTTGCTTCCATAGATGTATAAATAGAACCTACTGGGTTCATTAAATCAAACATATGAGATATTATAGGATTGTCCTCTTTTGAACTTAAAATATAGTGCAACTATTTCAGGTTTCTTCTGGTTTGTGTCAGAATATTTTTATAATATAATCTTATGTTTTCAGAGGTAGGTAAAAATCTTGACTATAATATTTATTTCTGTCATCTTTATAATAATATACTATTCTCGTTTTTTCTATTGCATTATATCTTTTATATCTATAATAATCTAAATATAATGTTAACTTTTGTTCATCTACATGTGGTGTTCTGTCGTCATCTCCATAGTCATAATAATGTGGTGCTGGAGCTGGGTCAGGCAATGTCATATCTGCCATTTCATAAACTCTTAAATATTTCTTTTGTTCGTGTCCATATAAGTTTAAGTAGCAGTTGTTGTCTAATGGAACTTTAACTTGTGTACCATCATTCTTTTTATAGCTTACATAAATTTCATTGTTATTTTTCGGAATGAGTTTACACCGTGTACCATTTTTTAAGGACTGTACCAACTGCCATCTAAAATATTTATTTTCTTCATTGACAGAAAAGTCACCAACAATAGTTTCAATATTTTTTGTTGTTCCTATCAAACTTTGGTATATTTCATTGACATATGTTTTATCTGCTTTCTTTTCAAGGCTAACGTTTAAGTCTGTTATTTCAGATATAGAATGTGTATGTCCAACGGCACTTTTCCTGTTTAAGGTTTCTTGTAAGTTTGTAATATTTGCAATGGTATGTGTATGTCCAACGGCACTTTTCCTGTTTAAGGTTTCTTGTAAGTTTGTAATATTTGCAATGGTATGTGTATGTCCAACGGCACTTTTCCTGTTTAAGGTTTCTTGTAAGTTTGTAATATTTGCAATGGTATGTGTATGTCCAACGGCACTTTTCCTGTTTAAGGTTTCTTGTAAGTTTGTAATATCAGATATAGAATGTGTATGAGTCTTATCTGCTTTTGTCTCTAATGTTTTCCTTAAAGACTTGGTATTTGGTTAATATAATGTATATGAGTCTTTTTAGAATATTCGTTTTCAGCTCTTGTCACTTCACTTGACATTTTATTGTCAACATATGTTTTGTCTGCTAGTTCAGGATGAGTATGTTCTTTTGTTGCATAAGCATTGTTAGCTCTTTCTTCTTCTTTTGCTATTGCATCGTCTACATATTCTTTGTCAGCTTTGTTGTCAACATCTGCTTTCAAAAGAAGTTCATTTATAGGTTTCTCGTTTAAAGTTCCTTTTGTTGGATTTATACAGACAGTATGGTTCTTATTGTCTTGAAACAGAAACTCATCTGTCATTGGGTTTATTGTCAGTTTTAAGTTTCCTTCTTTCAATGACTCAGATATCTTAGAATAGTTTGAAAAGTTTGTTGTGTTCTTATTTAGAGCTTGCAAAATGAGTTGTCGGTTGTGTTGTATTTCTCTCATAGACGCTGTTTCATTTGACATTTTTATTATAGATAAAATATGCTTCCAATAGAAAAAGAAAATTCTAGAGTTGCTACAACTAAACCATTAGATGAACTTTTTACTAATGTCGGTCAAAAGTTTGAGACAGATACCGTAAAGCATGAAGGCTATCATTTTGACTACCCATTAAGATGGTTAAGAGACCCATCCGTCACAAAAGCTATTGGCTTTCGTAGAATGAAGTTCATTTCAGAAACCATACATGGTTTCCCATTTACGGTCGGTTTTGAAGTTCGATACTATAACAAAGAAAAACGTATGTATGAGAAATTTGAACAGGGAAAACTTTTACAAGTTAGTTTGCTTATAAATTTAGAAACAACTCTTCAAGCTTTTCAAGAAAAAATAAACAATATCTATATCGAATATGCAAACCAGTATAACATTGACGAAGGAGAATACCATCTCGATATTATTTATGACAGGAAAAAT